TATCCTTTGCATGATCCTTTGGATCAATTGATTTTAATGGAATTACTTCTGATTTACATCAGCATGAGATGAAATTAGCCCCATTGGGCCTGATATCTCATTGCCTTGCATATGTATAGTCTGTGCACAGTGTATGTATAATGGCACTCAAGGAACAAGCGGAGAATCAGGCTCACTATCCCTCCTGGCATTCTGATTCTCCATAACGCAAGCTGGCTGTGTCTACACTGGCAAGTTATTCCGGAAAATCAGCCGCTTTTCCGGAAAAACTTGCCAGCTGTCTACACTGGCCACTTGAATTTCTGGAAAAGCACTGATGATCTAATGTAAAATCATCACTGCTTTTCCGGAAAAACTATGCTACTCCCGTTCGGGCAAAAGTCTTTTTCCAGAAAACTGTTCCGGAAAAGGGCCAGTGTAGATCGAGGTTTTTTTGCGGAAAAGCGCGTCTAGATTGGCCACGGACGCTTTTCTGGAAAAAGTGCTTTTCTGGAAAAGCGTCCTGCCAATCTAGACACGCTTTTCCGAAAATGCTTTTAACGGAAAACTTTTCCGTTAAAAGCATTTCCGGAAAATCATGCCAGTGTCCGCAGCCGCTGTGTCCCCGTAGTCCCCGTAGTGATCGCTGTACTTATGTTGACCTATGTTTTAAGCCTCACTGTCAAATGGATTCTATTTCTTGTAATCTCATCAATAGTCTCGAAGGTTACAGGACATGTCCCAAAAGAAACATGTTTTCCCCTTGTGTATTTCACAGTCACAGGGTAGTCTGTAAAATCAAGCTATGGTGCAATTCCTAAGACAGAACCAAGTGCCGTCAACAACATATTTTTACAGTGAAATCAGAAACTGTGATTTCAAGGTTCTACTCTTTATATTCAGAAAAATTGAACAGCCAGCCACAGATTCCAGAGTATCCCCCTCCCTTCTTACTACCTGATTCTGGAGTATTGAAGCAAACAAGGCAGAAGTGTTGAAAACATTCCAATGGAATAATGTTTAAATGTCACTCAGCTGGTTTTACTTTGCTGGTCTTGCTATTTAAGTGCCATTAGTGTGCTAACTGCTGTATGAAATTCAGATAAAAACCAGACGCATAGTCCAGGTCCCAAGCAATTTACAATCTAACAGACATGAATGTTATAGTCCTATTATATATGTATATACTAAGTACATGTGCACATAGGTAAATCTTGAACCTAGGACCAAGTACATATCCTGCATTTTGTTCTGGATATGAAATGGCTCTGTTCTGCGCTGTAGGTGTAGGTGGCTGGAATACCAGACATTGTGGTATTTCTAGGCATGGTTTGAGCCCTTCCCCATCTCCTGTGACTTCACATGGTACCTGTCAGGTTAGCCACACGGAGGATGCCATTTTTCAGAGTATGCCAACCTGGCCCTGCCAGCATGACCTCATGCTCTCCCCCCGCACCCCGAAGCTGAGCTCTGTTTCGCAGAGGGTCTGTGCTTTTGACATAGGGACCTTTCCCCTTATGCAGTGGAATAGTGTAGGTTTCATGGCCAAAGGATCTTGTTGCTGTGGAGGTGGGGCTGGATTTGCCCCTTTGTGAAAAGAGAGCTAAGCGGCTTTGTTAAGCATCGAAGACTCCCACAGCTGTACCTCTGGAAGTGCAAGCTGCTTGTCACAAGTTGCTATTATGACCCTTATTTTGAAAAAGCCACAAAACCCTTGAGATGATCCATGCAGCTAGAAGCAGAGTAATGTGATGTTTTTGCTTACAGCTCTGCTGTTTGTAGAATAAAAAAGATGATTTTGGTCCATATTTCCCTCCTGCCCAAAACTGGATGGAAGAAAACAAAC